ATAATCAGACAATTCTATCATGCAATTCCTGAACATCCCTAACCTAGTACTAACATGTTGTTCGACATATCACATAATCAAATAACTTGTATGGTATTTTGGGGTTTACTTACTGGCTCCGGCTGATCGTACACCCTGCATCCTCCTCTACTCATTTTGAAAACCATTTTGAAAATCCTTTCCTTGATTTGAGACTGGAGACATACAAGTGTTCCTCCAATTCACTCAAACCAAGGCTCTGATACCAACTTGTCACATCCATCAAAATCATGCCAAATTCAAACTTTTTAAAACATTTCAAAAATCATTTACCAATACAAATTTGTTTTTAAAATAGTTCAATATCAGAGTTTTCCCAGAAACATAAATAAGACATGAGGAGTTGTACGATCACGCCTTCGCCTTGCCGCGATCCCCTGATGTACCTAAAACAATAAACTGAAACTGTAAGCCCGAAAGCTTAGTGAGTTACCCCCAAATACCGATACACATACAATCCAATAACACATGAAAAATAACAGCATGTAACGGGTCCACAACTTTACAGACTGGAAGACCACTAGGCCCACAGTGTGAGTCTGGATTGCCTACCGGGCCCACAGCTCACATCTGGATTGCCACCGAGCCCACAGTACGAGTCTGGATTACCTACCGGGCCCACAGCTCGTATCTGGAATGCTCCCGAGCCCACAGTACGAGTCTGGATTGCCTACCGGGCCCACAGCTCGTATCTGGAATGCTCCTAGGGTTTGTTGGTCACCACACGAAGCAGTACATCCTTAACCCATCCCACATAACAGATCAACATATAACATAACTACTGAGCATGCAGATAATCATATAACAACACAGGTAGTCCTACCGATCTACCTAATTGGCATAATCACTAGCATGCAACACTAACTCATACTCAACATCTAACATCGCTAGGATAACATATCCAATGGGCCGGCCTTGGTGCCTTAGACCCCTTAGTATAGTGAGGATAACTCACCTGACAAGTGGATCGAAGATACAGTATCGAACTCTTCCAAACCACGCTCCCGAACACCAACACCTATTCTACCAATAATTCCCATCATAAATTCCAATTTACTCAAACTGCCCTCTCAAGGTACTGGTCCTTCCTTTGGTCAAAGTCAACGGTCAACCGTCCATGTTGACCTGACTCGTCGAGTGTAGCTTCCAACTCGTCGAGTCCAGTGCGTCTATCCAATCGGGAAAACCCCAGAAGGCTCGCCGAGTCATCTCCCAGACTCGCCGAGTTCAATTGTAAACCCTGTCCTGAAAACCCTACATTGACTCGTCGAGTCGGATTATCCGACTCGCCGAGTCCATGCAATCTTTACCCATAATCAACCGATTCCGAGCTAACCCATCGTTCCAAACAGTAGATCTGAGTTCCTAGGGTGTGTTTTCAACGTAAAGTTGCCACCTTTACGTGCTTGCATGGCTTTAAAGGCCCAAAAGGCACTATTCAAGCTTGAAATGGGGTTTAATTCCTAAGGAAGGGCTCATACATTGCAAGGCTCAGAACTTTATGAACTTGGAACCCAAGAAGGGTCCAGATCTAAAGTTTCAACTTCAGATCTAGCTCATGTACCCAATATAGCTCCATAATCAAGGCAAAAAGCCCTAACTTCACCCAATGAGATCTAGAAGGAAATAAAGTTAAGATCACGAATTGATACCTCAAAATGAAACTAGAGGAGGAAGGTTTTGTAGATCCACACAGTTTCTTGTTGCTAGCTTCTTAATCTTCCAACTCCCTTCACAAACTTCACCTTTCAAAAGCTCAAACACACTCAAATGAAGCTCACGCACGAAACAGGGTTTTCTGGGCTCTCAGGGGCTGTAGGGGACTGAGGGAGGCGCTAATGGTCCATTAAATAGGATGCAAAACCCCGAAAATTAGGGTTTCCTCTGCCAGCTCCTACTCGTCGAGTAACTTTTCCGACTCAGCGAGTAGGTCACTTAATGACGTGGCCCAAACCCGCTGCTACTCGACGAGTAGGACATCTAACTCGTTGAGTAGACCTTAAAACTTGAAGGTCTAAAACTGTAACATTAATACCTGACAATCAGGGCGTTACAGGAAGACATGATAAGAGCTTGCGTGATCGACTTTGGTAAGGCATGGGATACCCATTTGCCACTGGTCGAGTTCTCATACAACAATAGCTATCACACTAGCATCAACGTTGCCCCATTCGAAGCCCTCTATGGCCGCAAGTGCAGATCACCCCTGTGCTGGGTTGAAGTGGGTGGCACACAACTAGCTAGAGGACAAGTTCCTAACAGCACTCTCACTGGCCCGATGATCATAAGAGAAACGACCGAGAAGATTGTCCAAATCCGAGAACGACTAAAAGCTTCTAGAGACAGACAAAAGAGTTATGCGGATAAAAGACGGAAGCCCTTGGAATTTCAGGTTGGGGACCGAGTGCTATTAAAGGTCTCACCCTGGAAAGGATTGATACGTTTTGGAAAACGTGGGAAGCTAAATCCAAGGTATATTGCGCCGTTTGAGATCCTTGCCAGGATTCGCCAAGTAGCATACAAGCTTCGATTACCGCAGGAACTCAATAACGTACATCCTACCTTTCATGTGTCCAACTTAAAGAAGTGCTTGTCCGATGAGACTCTCGTCATCCCTCTTGACGAAATTGAAATCAACGAGTCTCCACTTCGTAGAAGAGCCGGTAGAAATCATGGATCGGGAGATCAAAAGAACAAAACAAAGTCGCATCCCCATTGTAAAGGTCTGCTAGAACGCCAAACAAGGACCTGAGCACACCTGGGAACACGAATATCAGATGAAACAAAAATACCCACATCTTTTCCCCAACCTTTGAAGTCCCACTCAAAATGCTAATTTCGGGACGAAATTCCTTCTAACAGGGGGATGATGTGACAACCATCAATTTATGGTCAAGTCAAAGTTAAACAAAGTCAACGGGTCAAACCGGTCAAATCAACTAGTGCTTGTATGTTAGGGCTTACTCTACATTTTCTAATGTACAATTTGCTATCTTAATACCAAGTATCACTCGCGAGTGTTAATTGTTCAACAATCTAAACCCTAATTAGGGTGAGAGACGTAACAACTCGATAAAACTCCAATATGTATCCTTCGGGGATGTATAACACTCATAACAAGGTGTAATGGAGTTTACAGTCCTTGCTCTACGGGGCAAAACACTAATAAAGGCCGCCGACAAAGTCTCTCTCAATCTCTCTCACTATATATATATATATATATATATATATATATATATATATATATATATATATATATCTCCCAAATCTCTCTCAAATCTCTTCCAATCTCTCTTGGTACTAAAAATCACATTTTTCGTCCTTCCTATGAACATCCGTACCATCCCAAACCTTCCCGTGGTCGATAACAGCTCAAAACAGAAGAAGGAAACCAAAAAGGGCATGGAAGTTTGCATGTTACTGTTCACACTGCGAATGTTCGCAGGTATTCGTAGCAAACAAAACGATTTCAGGCCACGAACCCAACCTTCACAGCGAACCGGCAAATCTCGTACCTTGGTCTCTCGCTCCGAACCTCACACTCGCAGCCGGGCAGGTTCGCTTTCAACCGGATAAGTTCGCACTCTAGAAATCGGCCATCTTCGCAGCGAACCTTCTCCTCTCTGACTACGAACCCTTATTTCGCATACGAATCCGAGAAGATTCGCACCCAGTTCCAACCTTCGCACCCTCCTTCCAAGGTTCGCATCCGAGCAGCAGCCTTCGCTGCGAACCCACTTTCGCATCTAAGCTTCTCACCTTCGCAGTTTCACATTTCTTTTCCGGTTTTTGACCACTTTCGGTTTTTGAATTATTAAAATTGAAATGTTTTTTATCCTTTAAATTTAAACAAATAATTTAAATAAATAAATAAATAAAACTAATGAGCTTTAGTTTGAGAATTTTAAAATTAAAAGGTAAGTCCATTAATAAAATTGATATCAATTTATTAGTATATTTATAGTAATTATTACATTAAAATATTGTGTGGAATTTAATAAAACAAGAAAACCCATAAAATAACATGTGGAAAAAAATTAATTCAAAATAACCATAAAATGACATTTGACAAATTGAATGAGAATGTAACATGTGTGAAAAAAAAATTCATTTATTATAATAGATACTTGACACTAAAGACACTCTTTTATTAAGACAGAGATTGCATTTATAGTTTACTTATTTATAATTTATTTTTAATTTTCGATCATTTTTATTTTTAAGACATTATTTATATATTTATATATTTTTGTTTACTTTTATAATATTTTTTATTTCATTGTTCTATGTTTAAAATTATAAAACAATGTATTGTGTAAATAAATAGAAAAACCAATAAAAAGCCATAAATATTATTTTATAGTGCAGTTGTTAAAATAAATTAAAGTAGGAAAATTGTAAATATATAATGCAGTAAGCTCACATTAAAATGAATTTAAAAACAATATATATATATATATATATATATATATATATATATATATATATATATATATATATATATATATTTGTCAAAAGAGTCATGCCAAATAGGGTTATCATACAATTTTTGGGTGCAAATAAATCACTTTTTTATCTTCCAAACATTTTTCTTAAGCTTACTGAAACATTTTGTAAACTCAATCTCAAACACCTCGTCAGAGTGTGTTGATGAGCAATGTGTTGGAGGTGTGTACGTTATCAATTTTTATCGTTGTAGACTTGTAGTCTTGTAGATCCAATTTTCTTTAAAAAAACTGTAGAATTAATGAATTATTAATGGGGGCCAGTGACCAAATTGTTAGATGGTTTACGACCACTTAACAGAGAAAGATAGACGAAAACGTTAAAATTAAGAAGGTCAAAGTCAACAATCCCAAATGACAATTTCTAAACTGTAAGGGCTGATACGAGCTTTTCATAAATTTTAAGGTCTATATTTCGTCATTTTCTGAAGTCGATAAACCCTAATTTAGAATTTTGGGGGAGACATCGCAGAGGACGGAAAATGAGAAGAAGCTTTGCAGGCGGTTGTATTATGGTACGTAATGGAGTTTACTGCAGTTCTTCGTGCTCTTCTATCTGTGAACCCACAGCAACCTACTCTTCGAATTCAGCAACGACATCAGGGCAGCAGCCTTCCAATCGGAATCATTGTTCCTCCATTTCATCAGGTGCGTTTTCTTACTATTTTGCAATTTTCTCTGTTTGTTATTACCAGTAATTTTCTTTTCAATTAGATGTTTATTAGATAATTACTTGTGTTAGGGCTAGATTTATATGGTATATGCGTGTTTCATTTCTGCTCCATTTGGTCATTGGTGCATTTCGGGTGCTCTGTTTTCTCTGTTGTTTTGAACCATTTTCATTAATACAAGAATCTTAACCCATTTATGCTCTTGAAGGTCATCATAGTATCTGAATCAGTAGAAATGCTTTATGTTTATGTTCACTTCCTGAATGTTACTTCGACTGATTACTATTAAGAAACTTTTCATATTCATTGGAGTTTTGGTCTCTTTATACTCATTGTAGTCTCCTTCTGTGCATGTCATAGATGCATCTGTGAATGGGACCCTTCAGCGGAGAAACATAGAGGTAATGCATGCACATTTTTCATTTCAAACAACTAAGTCAATTGCTGTATTCAGGAATGGTGTTTATATTATAAATATCATATTTACAGTTTTTCTGTCATAATGATGGGAATTAATGATTAGGGCTCATTCTCCTCAACAGCAAAACCCCATATCGAGGATAATCGATGGTTAGGGCTAATTCGTCTTGACAAGAAACCCGAAGGCACTTCCAATGATCAACCCCATGATGAATTTTCAGGTGATGTTGAGAAGATTTACAGAATCTTAAGGAAATTCCACTCACGTGTTCCAAAATTAGAACTTGCTTTACAAGAATCCGGTGTTATTATCCGCTCAGGATTAACCGAACGTGTGGTGAATCGTTGTGGTGATGCTGGAAACTTAGGATACAGGTTCTTTGTTTGGGCATCAAAACAACCTGGTTACACTCACAACCATGACATATACAAATCCATGATCAAAAGTTTAGGAAAAATGAGACAATTTGGTGCAGTATGGGCGCTTCTTGAGGAAATGAGAAAAGAAAACCCACAGCTTATAACCCCACAAGTGTTTGTTGTATTAATCAGAAGGTTTGCTTCTGCTAGACTGGTGAAAAAAGCAGTCGAGGTGCTCGATGAAATGCCTAAGTATGGCTGTGAGCCTGATGAATATGTGTTTGGGTGTTTGTTAGATGCATTGTGTAAGAATGGGAACATCAAAGAAGCTGCTTTACTTTTTGAAGACATGAGAGTGAGGTTTCCACCAACAATCAAACATTTCACTTCTCTGTTATACGGGTGGTGTAAAGAAGGTAAATTAATGGAGGCTAAGTTTGTTTTGGTGCAGATGAGAGAAGCCGGTTTTGACCCCGACATTGTTGTCTACAACAATTTGCTCAACGGGTATGCAGTTGCAGGTAAAATGGTGGATGCTTTTGACCTTTTGAAAGAAATGAGAAAAAAAGGTTGTGATCCAAACGCGACTTCTTTCACCATTTTGATACAATCACTTTGTGGTCAAGAGAAAATGGAGTCTGCAATGCAGGTGTTGATGGAAATGGAGAGGTGTGGATGTGAGGCGGATGTTGTTACTTACACTACATTGATAAGTGGGTTTTGTAAATGGGGGAAGATTAAAAAGGGTTATGAGATATTAGATCACATGATTCAAAAAGGACATACCCCAAATCAAACGACTTATTTACATATTTTAAATGCTCATGAAAAGAAAGATGAATTGGAAGAATGTTTAGAGCTTGTGAACGAGATGCAAAAGATCGGTTTGTTTCCAGATGTTAACATCTGCAATACGATTATTCGTTTGGCTTTCAAGTTAGGGGATGTTAAAGAAGGGGTTCGAGTCTGGAATGAGATGGAACGGAATGGAATCAGCCCCGGAATTGACAATTTTGTGAATATGATTCATGGGTTAATAGGTCAAGAATGTTTGGTTGAAGCTTGTGATTATTTTAAAGAAATGGTGGGAAGAGGTTTGTTTTGTGTTCCTCAATATGGGCTTATGAAGGATCTTTTGAATTCGTTACTAAGAGGTGATAAGATTGAAGTGAGTAAAGATGTTTGGAGTTGTATTATTAATAAAGGGTGTGAGGTTAATGTTTATGCATGGACGATTTGGATACATGCACTATTTTCAAAAGGGTATGTGAAGGATGCGTGTGGTTATTGTTTGGAGATGATGGATGCTGGAGTGATGCCACAAGCGGATACTTTTGCAAAGCTTATCAAGGGGTTGAGGAAGCTTTATAACAGACAGATTGCTGTTGAGATTACAGAGAAGGTGAGGGAGATGGCTGCTGAGAGGAAAATAAGTTTTAAAATGTATAAAAGGAGAGGTGAGAGGGATTTGAAAGAGAAAGTTAAGGCTAAAAATGATGGGAGGAAAAGAAGGGCTCGTCGACGTAGGTGGGGCCATGCTAAAGCTGGTTCCATATGATTTTTTTTTTCTTTTAGTTTATTGTAATGTTGTTTGTTTTGTTTTTTTTTATTAATTTTTTAGTCTATGGTTGTATAAGTCTTTCATTTGTTAATTTATAAGGCTTAATGTTGTATAAATTATTAAATTGTGAAGTAATGTTCACTTCTACTTACCTGATCAGATATGGATATATATATCACTAGCAAACCAAACTGGATCTTTTTCAAACTACAGTTCCAAGACCAAATTTTTGGACCCATCTTGTTATCGATTCTGATTTTAAAAACAAACCGCCTCAAAGAAATAATATTGGTTTCAATAAGTTCATCCCCAAATGAATCTTAATATCAATGTTTTAAAAACCAATTTTTTAGTCGGAACCAATATGAATGATGATGACTAGTTTTCGGTTGTTTTTAGAATTTTTATGTTTTCTTTTCCTTATTTTCACCCACATACACCAAAATAAATAAATTATAATACTAAAATAAAATATAGTTTTAAATGAATACAAATACATCAAAAAGCTTCATAACATTTATTCTGTAGTCTCTATTTTTATTTAATTTATGAAATCTCTAAATGGATATGAAAAGACTACAAAAGTTTGTTATGCAAAATGTTTTATTTTCATGTGTTTTTATTCAAATTAATCGGTTCAAGCGGGTTTTTGTAAAAACCGACTAGTTCTTTCTAGTCCAGAAATAAACATAACAAATGTAGTTGAACAACTCTCTTTCCTGTGTCCCGGTCCAACCGTCTTGACCTGGTTTTTATAACATTGAAAAATATAAAAAAATTGAGGGCATAGGACTTTAGGTTGACATTCTTAATCCAATAGTTTTTTTTGGAATCCGCAAATATATTAAAAATTAAGAGAAACCTTATGGTATAAGGGGTTAAAATGCTAGTGGATAAAAGTTAAGGGGGGCAAACGGTTACCTAGAAATAAAACAAGGGAGGTATTGAAATTTACACAGAGACGAATAGAGACAAAGAACGGATAAATTTCTCTAGGAACGCCCAATTTCAAAAACACCATACTTCCACCCCAAGCCCTAAATACTGAAAAATTAAAAAATGTCTCCGAGTATCGCTGTTTTATGTAATCTTTGTCCCAAAAAAATTCGTCTTGTAATTTTGGTCCTTGTTTTATTGGTGCTTAAGTATGTTGATCTTAACCCTTAAGCGTTAAAGACGTCGATTTCTTGATTGCCAGACACATGTTCTGTTTTTTTTATGATCTTGGATGCAATTCTCTCACAGGTAAGATTTTGATCCCCCTATAATTGATTTTTTGAAAACTGTCTTCCAAATTTCGGAAAAGAGTTCGTCTATTAATTCCCAATGCTCTTACGATTCCTTTGATTACTTCATAAACTTGCAAGATTTTTCCTGTGATTTTTTAGGTATTGAATGTATCTGACACTCAAAACAAGCCACGCTTTTTTATGATCATCTTGCTTTCTGTTTTTATGGCTATGCTTAGAAACCATTAGAAGCAAGAAATTTTCAACATTTTGTAGATGATTTCTCCAGCGTAGTGGGTTCTTTCCGGAATATCTATCATATTAATCCCACCATCTCAAAAAAAAAAGCACATTTAGGGGGTGTTTGGATAGGGAAAAAAAGAGGGTGTTTATGCTTATTGCTTATTCCCACCGCAATAAGCTAAGTTTAAGTGTTTGGATAGGAATCCTTAAAAATCAGCTTATTGTGGTAGGGATAAGCTAAATAAGCTGATTTTAATATCTCAGCTTATTGCTTATTGCATATTCCCACCCGCAAATAAGCTAATAAGCTATAATCTAATTTATCCAAACACCCCTTTTTATAAACCACTTTATCCATGTTTAATATCCAGGGAATACCTTATTTATTGGGATTATGGGACATTTGCTTTCAGTTCACATAAGAACTGTTTTTTTAAGAATTTGTTTACACTGATGATGTAGGGGAATAATCTGTTTAATCAAAGGTTTTAATCTTAAAAGAAAATAAATAACTGTAATACTTTGCTATACCATCCTTTGACACATGGGGTATCCAATGTTGGAGCTGAATTCTTATTAATCATTGGTTATTCTTTTATGGTTCAGGGAATCTAAAAATATCATGAAAAATTAAGACAAAACCTACAGTGATCAATTTGATAAAACAGAAAAAAACTCATAGTGATCTTCATGGCGTCCAAGAGCTCTATTGTTCCTGACATTGTATGGAATTGGGTCATTGAAACCCTAGCAACTTATGAACAAACAGATGCGTCTACTTTAATAGGCATGCTTCATATTCCTTTCATCTCTTAAAAACAAAACTCTTCATTTATATTTATTTTAAAATTATAGTTTCCATGTTTCAGGTCTAGTGAGAATGGCTCCAGCAATCTCAGGTGATCTAGGAAAAGATGCAAAAGAGGTCGTCTCTTTAAGAATCTTGGAGAGCTTGTTTCCTCAAAGTGATGAAGCTGTAGTTGATGCTGATGCAGGTCAAAATGGTAAAATCACTTTTGATTCATCAGAACGCTGTGAAGATGTCCTTAACAAGATATTACGTGAGGTGATATTGATTAATAATTGTGCTGGAAATCTTAAATTATCCTTATATTTTTGTTTTTTTTTTGTAAATGTAGCAGACACCTGAGCATTCGGCTAGATTTGAAAAAGAAAAATGGGATGTTCGTTCCTTTTTAACACATAAAAGGTCATCCTTGCCTAAATGTGTCTTGAAAAAGGTGAGTTTCTTTTCATCTAATGTATATCTCAAAATCTCAAATTGTAGAAAAAAAATGTTTTTTAATTACATAAGTGATGAGACAAATGGTAGCAAAACCCTTGAACTTTAACCAACTTATTGGAAAATCATTTATAGTTTTTTCTTTTGCATTAAAGCCACTCAGGAGAGAGAAACTTGGTAATTTAAGGTTTTTAAAACCATGTATATAGATTCCATTTGCAGCATACATTTGGATTCCAACATACACATTGCATTGACAACATACATATATGATATACCTACACATTGCAGCATACACGTACATATAGATACTATCATACATATATATGCCATATACATATAGATTCCAGCATACATATTGACTCCAACATACATATACATAGGCCATGTACAATGACAACATACATAGAGATGGAATCCTTAAATCAATAAGTAATTTTTTTTGGCCATATACATTGCAGCATACATACACATTATCAATGTCAACACACTACAAGGGTATTATTGACATTAGCCTCTTTTATTCAATAGTTTCAATGGCAAAATAAAAATGACGTTTTTTTAGAAAAGTAGCCAAAATACAAGGGTATTCTTGAATCATCTTTTTTCATAAACCGGTTAAACCAACTCAAATCCAATGATTTTCTTAACATTAGCCAATATACATATTGCTAACTTGGCTGTGTTTTTGTCTGATAAAACAGTTGAAGGACATGCTTCTTGAAAGTAGTCACCCACTTCTTGCATCATTGAAAGAAAAGAGTAAACTAGTAACTCCAAATGCATCTCAAAATACAAGTCCAGTGAATGATGAGAATCTTGATGTCCAAGATACAGTAGCTAAAGATGATACAACCATTTTGAACCTAAGAAAAGATAAAGGAAAGTTTCAAGAAAAGGAGTTGCAAGAAGCTGATCGAGTAAGTAATGTTCAGCATGATCAACAGCAGCTTCATTTTAATGATGAAAAATTGCCCCAAGACACACATGAGAAAAGGGTATCTGTTGATAACATGGAGAATCTAGAGTCTGTTGTTAAATTAAAAGACAACAAAAATGTTGAACCAAATGCATTGGATGAAGATGAACATTTAAGCAAAGATGAAAACTCCATGGAACAAGATGGTGATCAAACAGATTCCTTGATGAATCTTTGTGTGAAGTGTAATGAAGGTGGTGAGTTGTTAGTTTGTAGTTCTGAGTCCTGCCCATTACAGGTTCATGAGAGTTGTTTAGGATTTGCCATCACATTTGATGAAAATTTCAACTTTTTCTGCCCATTTTGCACGTATTCTCGTGCAATTTCAGAGTATCAGGAAGCTAAAAGAAAGGCTTCACAAGCTAGAAATGATCTACAAGCTTTTTCTAGCTTCACAGTCAAAAAGGGTAGTAGACCTATTGAATCCTTTAAGAAACCAAGTGAATTTGAGAAAGATGAAAATAGAAAACTAACAGGAGCATTTGGTGAAACAAGTGAAGGAAATGTAGCCAATCAAAATATGACAGAAGGTGAAGGGCAAAAGAAAGTCAAAGTCAATGGCAATGTCAATGAGAGTGACATTGTTAGTAGACATGTTGATAAACATATACCACAACCAAGTACACCAAAACGGAAATTTAAGGAAAAAGAAAGTCAAATGGAAATTATTGAGTCTAGTTCCTCAAGAGAACTCCGCAAGAGGAAAGCACAATAGTAAGTTGTTATCTTTCTGAAAAGGAATGGAATCGTTGATTCCATTGGAGGAATGTGATTCCTTTCCTTCTATTATTTCATTCCATCGATTGGAAATTCGCAATATAATTTGTTTTTATTTTGTAGCACCCCTCCAGTAGTTGTTCCTTTGTTGAGACGAAAAACAATCCCATGGACAAAATCAGAGGAAGAAACACTCAAGGTACTTGTGTGTTTTTTATTTATATAAATAATTAATTTGATCTTAGATATGATTATAAAAACTATATTATTACAATGTAAGTTCATGTTGATTGTTTAAACTTGTTAGGAAGGTGTTGAGAGATATTCAAGTGTCAATGATAGAAAAATTCCATGGAAGGAGATTTTGGATTTTGGACACAATGTGTTCCACAAAGGACGTACCACTATAGACCTAAAAGATAAATGGAGAAACATAGGCAAGGGAACAAAATGAAAAAGGTCCTTGCAACTTTTATTGTACGATAACAAAAACAGAAGATACATGTGTTATATGAAGATATGTCACATGTATATAGAAGGCCAAATCCCAAAAGGGCAAAAGGTTAGATCTTTCTTTTGGAAAGCTATAAGCTATTCATGAGTTTTGCCACTTAAGATTTTTGCCTTTTACAGGTTTCTACAGATGGAAAACAAATGAAGCAGCTTGTGGGTTGAAATAGATTGGAAATGGTGTCGGTTTTGTCTTAGGACATGAGGATTCTTTGATTTTTGAAGAGGTGGCATCCCACATCTAACTTTAGGGTTGATAATTTGTAGGGACAACGAATTTGTTTCATGTCCACATTTAGTTATTATTTTTTTTACAGTCTTACCATTGAATTAAGTTTGTTTACTTTGTTCACAAATACCATTATGACCGGCTATTGTAGGTTTTGTTGAACACATTTAGTTGCTATTTTTTTTTTCTTTTTTTGTATATATTGTCATTAATCTTGTTTTTTTGTACATATTTAGTCATTATTCTTTTTTATTATATATATATATATATATATATATATATATATATATATATATATATATATATATATATATATATGAACAAATGAGAACACTTAAAAAGTTGAGAACGCCAGAACAAATCATAACCTTCTAAATAATTAGATCTAGGGCTATTAATAATCAAGTCATTTATGTAAATTATAAAATTGATGGGTTAAATATGTAACTTTGATATGGTGATAAAGGGTATAATAGGAAATCCAAATAATAGAAATAAATGGAAATTTTTATAACTTAGGTATAATATTAATTTGAATCGTTGTTTCTCTTTATATCAATACATACTAAACCCTAATCTATTTGATTTTTTTATTGCCGGCCGCACACCCCCGTCTTTTTCACATTATGCTGCCATTGCCATCCCAGGTCGTTACATCATCGTCTCGCCGTCTCATCTCCTCGGACAATCTCAGGTACTCGTCGTCTCTGTTCTCCAAAAAGGATGTTAGGGTCACAGGCGGGAGGGAAGAGAAGATGATGGTAAAGATGTTTGTTACGCCCCGAGATCTTGATCTCATGACAGGACTTGTACTTGTACTTCCTACAGCCGTGAGTATTACTAACACCTAATCTCCTATTGAGAGGAGCCTAGGTTAAACTAGGGATGAGCATTAGAACCGTCGGAACCGGAACCGGACCGGAATCGGACCGGAATCGGAACCAGAATTGGTAACAAGTTCCGGTTACCGGTTCTCCATTTTTATGAAAACCGGTCCCGGTTCTAAAAACCGGAACCGGTTTGATATTTTTCTCATTTTTTAAAATACGCATAACTTACTCATATGAAGTCGGAATTATTTGATTTTTTTCCAACATGTAATTTGGAGTTTGTAGTTCATTTTTTACTGTACAAACATATGTTTTGGTTAGATATTGAATCAGACACATGCCCCGAAAGAAAGAATATCGATGCTGCGTTTTTTCTATTTCAGCATTTTTTTTTGTTTTTTTGAATCTGTCATATTTTTTTAAATGAGCATAACTCATTCATATGACGTCGGAGTTACTTAATTTTTTTTTCCAGCACGTAATTTGGTGTTTGTAGTTCATTTTAGACTATAAAAACACATATTTTGGTTAGATATTGAATCAGTTATAGACATCGGAAGACAACATATCAATGCTCGTATTATCTGTTTCAGCATTTGTTTTTTGAAATCTGTCCCGCTTTTAAAATGCGCATAACTCACTCATATGAAGTCGAAATTACTTGATTTTTTTTCATCATGTAATCTAGTGTTTGTACTTCAATTTAGAATGTAAAAAGTCATAATTTGGTTAAATATTGAATCATTTACAAGCTACGGAAGATAACATATCATCTATAATATTTTGAACCGATTCTAGTTTGAAAAATAACCGAAAAACTGGGACCGGAACCGGCGCTAGAATCGGCGGTCCGATTCCCGGTTCTTATAATATACGAAAACTGGTCCCGGTTCCGAACCGCTCCGGTTCTAAAGCTCATCCCTAGGTTAAACTATTCTAAGAGATTAAAAACAATTGACTTCAAGCATAATTTTATTTCATAAACAACTACCCTTTAAAAAGGGATAAACAAAAGACTCTAATAAGGAAACAGACATCACCCAAATCGACTCAATTACTAAATGATCCTAATTACCAAATTAAAAACTGAAACAAGATAATCTCCTAAAATAAGATACTTTCCATAAATTAAAAATACTTATTATTCGTATGATTCATAACATTACTCCCCTCCTCCGCATTGAGCTTGTCCTCAAGCTCAATAGTCACCCATTAGCGTCGTTTTCCTCATTATCCATCATGATGCAAAAGAGCTTGGCACATTTATGCCCAATCGAAAATATTTCATCACAGTTGAAGCACAAGCCTTTTGCCCGCCTCTCTGCCATTTCTACAGTCGTTAGTTTTTTCCAGGCCGGATTTAGTGTTTCAGTTTTGTAGTTTCCAGCTCCTCCTTTTCTTGCTGACTCTCGTTTTTGGCTTGCAGTCGAGGTTTGGTTTCCTGTAGGCCCGACACCTATTGGTAGTCTTGCTTCTGCCACCCTTAGCTCAATTTGTCTTGCTGGATTCATGGCATAATATAGAGTTATGGGTCTCGCAAATTCAACCTCATATCTTATCACGTTTATTAGCCCCGCACAAAAGTGCCAAATGCTTTGCTCCGGTGTGACCCCCGTCGTCCTACCCAACAACAATTCGAAGCTTTCACAGTAGTCTTCTACTGTCCCAACTTGTCGAAGCCGAGTTAACTCCCCTAAGGGATTCAAGCTCATAGGCGGGCCGAAACAGATTTTGCATTCTTCCGAAAACTCGACCCAACTCAAACGATTTTTCATCCTTCTCGGGTTTCGGTACCACCCGCTTGCCCGACCCTATAGGGCGAAAGTTGCTTGGCGGACCCAAGCCTCCGGCGGTGTTTGTTGTTCTTTGAAGAAGTCCTCACTCTTCTGTAACCATTCGAGTGGGTCACCCTTGCCCTCATACATCGGAAACTCCATCTTGGCGAATCTAGGCACCAGATTGCCAGGCACCCGATCGCCACGTTAACCTCCTTCATCAAATTCATCCCAACTTTTATGCACCTGTTCTTGTTCAATATGCCGATTGTGTCCCGATCCTTCGGCTTTGTGGAAATCCTAGCGGTGTTTGAATGATTGTGGGTCTGCATTGCGCCAAGAATCAGACCCCTTCCCTACTCCTCGTCCTCTTCCCAAGGGGTTTGATCCAAACGACCCCCTGCCTCGACCTAACACCGTGAAGGAACTCGTCATCTTGCCTCCTGGTGCGTTGCCGGTGACGATGCCCTTGCTCCTTCCTCGGCCTAGCTCGCTGCTATCTTCAAATTGTTGGTCCATCTTTTTTTCTTCCTCGCTTGCTTCAGACCCTTGTTTGTTGACCTTGTTTTGGGACTGTGATAAACTCTCTTCCAGCGCCGCATGCTTGGCCTGCAAGGCTTCGACTGCCCCCTTCAGTTCAAGGGTACTCTGAGTTTGCTGGACCATGAATGTTTCTAGCTTCTTCATCAATTCTTCCTGTTGAGTAGACATCACGAGCGACTCTGATACCAAATTTGTTACGCCCCGGGATCTAGATCTCGTGACAGGACCTGTACTTGTACTTCCTACAGCCGTGAGTATTACTAACACCTAATCTCCTATTGAGAGGATACTAGGTTAAACTATTCTAAGAGATTAAAAGCAATTACTTCAAGCATAATTTTGTTTCATAAACAACTACCCTTTAAATACGGATAAACAAAAGACTCTAATAAGGAAACAAAGATCACCCAAATCGACTCAATTACTAACTGATCCTAATTACCAAATTAAAAACTGAAACAAGATAATCTCCTAAAATAAGATACTTTCCATAAATTAAAAATACTTATTATTCGTATGATTCATAACAATGTTGAAGATGACCGCATTGAAGAAGAACGGAGAAGGAGCAAGAAATACAAAAGGGACGAAGAGAACGGCGGTAGCAGGAGGGATGTAGACAGAGACCGTGACCATGCTCGTAGCCGTAGCCGTGAGGAAAGGTTTTCCAGGTCGGAACGTCACAGAAGTAATGGTAGGGATGGAGAGAGAGACGTCGAGAGAGACAGACCGTCTTTGGTCTTCGAAGATGAACCATTCCTGGTGTCGGATTAGTCGACTGTCTTCTCCAAGTACTCGTACTCGTCGAAGTCCATTATCTAACTTATAGTCGTTCCCCAAGTCCTAGATTAGGGCTTTGGAGGATCGAATTCGATCAGTGAAGCTGGTGTGGATTCTTGGACAGAGATGATGGGTGCGAACCCTAGCTTCTGCAGTCTACTACATCTTTCTTATCTTTAAGTCTCCTGCTCTCTCTTGATGAATTCATTTAGAATGTGTATTTACTTATGAATAACAGTGTATTCATTTGTGAATAACAGTGCATTTATGTGTGAATGAATGTATTTATTTATGATTAGAGGTATTCATTTATTCATTTGTGAATAGCAGGGTACTCATTTGTTAATAGCAGTGTATTCATTTGTAAATAGCAGGGTAATTATGTGTTAATGAGTGTATTTATTTATGATTAGAGGTATTCTTTTTATTTTCAGTTGATTAAAAAAGAAACTGGATTACTTGTAAATTGATATGTATTCATTTGTGATTGGAGTAGTTACAGGTTTTTTGAAAAAAAAAAAATCATTTGTGAATACAAATGTATTGATTTAGGGTTGGATTTCTATTCTTCTTTTTTTTGAAGAAAAAAAAACGTGAAATAGGAAAAAAAAATTGATTTTTTTAAGAAATTTTTTTTTTTTTTCATTTTTAAAATAAATTTTGGTAAAAATGTTTTTTATATTTCATTAATAAAAAAAATAAAAAATCGAATAAGTCTTTCTTTTTTGTAACTGATCCTAAATTTAAGAAAATTCGATTGAACTTTATTTTATTTTAATTTAATTAAAATATACAATTACTAATATGTCTTTATATATTGATTGGTTCAGAATTGTTTTTGTGTTCTCAACTTTTTAGTTGTTCTCATTAAGCATATTGTCTATTTCTTGAAAATTAAGACGTATATCTATTATAACATCCTGTACAATCCTATTAAGCATAATGAAAACGTCTTTACATGCTCCTTTGATTGTAACTGCCTTCTCCCCATGTCTAAACGTGGAAAACCCTAATTTCATTTACATACCATCAGTCATCGTTTCTCCCAAATCTCTTCTGTCTCTCTAATTGCTCACTTCAATTTCTTCTGTCTCTCTAATTGCTCTCTTTTGTCTCTCTATATATCATATCTTATCTCAGTCGATTAATAGGCATTGCTTGTGGAAGAACCCTTCGTCATCTCTTCTCTCGAACTCTCTGATAAGAGCCCTAATCTATACCCCTCCTATTCCATTTATGGTTCCCGTATCCACATTTGCCTCCTCCGCCACTATCTCCTGCAATCTAGGTAAGTTTTTTCTTCACAAATTAATGATTTCATTGTTTTTCTTCACAATTTCAGGTTGATTATCGAGTTTTCTTTAACGATTTAAGGTTGTGCGACATTATTTAGGGCTTCATTCACCACTATCTCTCTCTAACTCTGTATGTGTGTGTGTGTGTTTACTTCATGGATCTGGATTGAAATTTAGACACCAATGACCACCATCTTCGTTTTTCAGCACCACCCAAAGAAATGTTCGATTTTCAACATCACCCATTTAGTAGATTTTGAAACCACACCATCGTCACCAACATTCATAGAAGACACCACAACATTCACCACCATTGAACAACCACCATCTGCTCCCTTCTCTCCAATATTATCCCCTTCTGAACCTTAAAGTTTAACCCTCCAATTTTTCTTATTTTATCTCTTAATCGTTGATTTAGGGTTTTGGTTGTGACTGCCTTCACCCTTCTCTGCGTTTTTCTCTAAACAGAAACATCCATCGATGGATGTGTATTAAGAAATTGATCAAGAAGCAAGAGGAATCTATTTCAAGAAAAACATATTCACAAGGATTCGAAGAAATCCTTCTCAAAGAAGGAGGTAAATATTCTAACGAGTGTAATTTTAATCTATCGAAAATCATTAAAGGTTTTCTGGACCCTATACCTCGAGTTGTGTGTATCCTAACCATTTTGCCTTTGATTTTAATTGGTTTTGTGCTCCTTTTCTTATTAATGTACAACTTTTTTCACAGATGAAAGAATACATTGCAACTCCAAAACCAATGGTTTCAAAGTCTTCATACAATTGTAATTCCATTTCTTTATGGGAGCATGTTTCATCTTGAAGTTCAGGTACCAAAATTATTCACTGGGCTTTGGTTTGGATTTTCATGATTTGTGGTTCAGTTGTACGATTATAATGGCCTGACATGACTTAGATCCTTTTAGGTAGATTTTTCTCAAAAATCAACATCTGGATAGCCAATTACACGTCTCCACAAATCTCCTACATCGTTTTAAACATTTATCAGGAGATGTGGGACTAAATTGTTGTTCAAAGAGGGTGGAGTTTATGTGTGATGTTGTTTTGTGATGTGTTATGTTTCCCAATTCAGCTTCAAATTTGAGCCTAGCTAAACCATTGTTTGAATAAGAAGATGTTAAACAAGCTAATCAAAAGGATTTTAGATCCTAATCCTATGACAATAAGTTCATATAGTCATTTTTTTTGTATTAACTAAAAATATTAACCCATATTTTAGTTTTTCTTTCACAGAAAATTGTTGAAGTGGTTGAGAACGAATGGTTTAAGAAAGGATACATGGTTGAGATCATATTATACATGTTTTTGTGATTATTTAAGGTGAACTCTTCTTTTTATGTCCATCCATGCTCCAACATTGCTAACATTTAAGTACTCTAATTTTCAGTTATGTGAAATCGCATTCTACTTGGTTTTCTTTTCTTTTTGGCCTCATGGTTGATTTCCCTTTATGTATATGTTATTTGATTCGGAAAGAACTGGTTTTTTCTTAAAAAAAAAATTAACATCCTACTTTTTTCTTTTTGTCAAGAACTGTTTTTTGTTTCCTTTGTTTATTTTCATGAATTTGGAGGCATGTTTTTATGTTTTGTTGGATACATTTTAAGGAAACTTAGTCTTCATTGTCAAACGGTGATTTTGAAGAAAATAGGTTTTCGTCATCAGGTGTTGGAAATAGTTTGAACTTTTCAGAAAATTGGGAAATACTAACGTACTTCACTACTTTTTTGTTCTGCTGTACAATATATTTTTCTTACTTAATTTCAAACCAACATGCAATTTATTGTAATTTTTGAAATTAATACCTTTCTTTTTATACAAAAGATGCTAATAAAGTTTATAAATGATTCGGTGAAGAAATCTTAACTTTTTATAAGATAATAAAAGTTATTTCGGATTATTTTTTAAGCGACGAGTCATCTTAAAATTGAAGCCACGAATACATTCTCCGTCGAAAAAAAAAAAAACGAATCGCTAAATTGAAACTAATGCTTAGTGATACTTGCCAATATATTCTCACTTATTATTAGTATAACATGTTTCCTAATGCAAATAATCGTTGAATTGAAACTAATCATCGTTCGCCGAAAAGAAACAAATTGCTAAAACATATTATTTGCATCCGTCGCTTGGCGCGGATAAACGGCTAGTGTATGTGTGTGTGTATATATAATATATATATATATATATATATATATATATATATATATATTACAAATAAATATGTGATTTGTGTATAAATGTATGTAATTTTAATTTTTTTTTTAAATCATATTTTCATTTACAATTTTTTTTATTTAAGCCGTATCTTTGTATATATATACATTGTTTTTCTATTACGTGTTAATATCATAAAATTAAACAATATTTTTTACAGCCGTCAAGAAAAGCCTTAATCTTTCCATCGTCGACGACGTCCAAATATTTTTCCAATTTTCAAGGATTCACATGACAACTAGATTATAACCCGCGTTAAACGCGGGGGAACGTATTAAAAAAATATAAAAACATTTATATATATTGCATAATAATTATAAAAGAAAGTTTATGGCTATTGTTATTATTGAAATGTGAAGAAGAAACACTGAAATCGATAAATATCTATAAAATCATGTCCAAGCTGCTGATCATGTATGGGTTGTTTTTGTGTCTGTTTCCAAATCATGACAACTTGAACACGAATATTTCATGATTTTTTGGAGGCATCTATGTTAGCCAGCTTATCAATGACGATTTCACTGTCACTGTTATGTGTCATTTCGTTTGTGCTATGAGAAATAGAAAAGTATTAGAGATAATTATGAGATATAGTGAAAAAACTAATTCAAAGATTCACAAGGTTTTTGTTTAATGTAAATATGATGTTCAATTAACATGGACATTCTTCGCTGGCATACTTAACCATGAAAAAAACAAAAATAAACATTAATTGTATTTTGCAAAATAATAGTTGGCTGCAATTATAGATTAATGGAAGTAGGATGGTGTCCAATCAAAACATACATAGTATGTTGATATATTTCACAGAAAACAAGAAAGCAAAAAAAATGAGTAGAGTATGAACATTTAT